CGGCTAATAGAGTTAGAGACTTACAAAGACATAATAGAAGGCAGTATCGAAATAAAAAATGGGTGGCATGATAACACAAAAATGACCTTGTCTATGTGATTGACTGTGATAAAAAAGCAAAAATGACAGGGAAAAGCAAATGGGAAGAACTCACTTTGAGCAGGAAATTTTTACGTTATTGAATAACAAAAGTAGTTCAGTGAGTTTTGAATGTCATAACGTGAATGGAATGTTTATAAAATTATAATTGGTTCGGTGATTAATATAATTGCTTAAATGTCATAATTTAATGTCAATACAAATGACATTAGTGTGATAATGAGCATGTGATAATTATTTGAATCATAATGGAACGATCCGCTAAATAGGTTACTGAGCAGAATCGACACGATAAGATAATACGATTTAAGCATGACCATGTTCCTACTGTACTGGCTTCGATAAATGCGTCGGATTAAAGAGTGAGTGGTTTGGGTTGCTCATTGATTGAGTTGGCCACTTTTTTCGTTTATTGGACACGTAGGATTCGAGGTGCGCACCATTTATAGGGTGCGTTTAGTTCAAAGTCAGGCTTAACGCTGTGAAACCACTATGAAACCTTTTCAGCTGAATAAGAATCTTTCAACTGCCGGCAAAATCGTTCTATCAACCAGTTAGCTCGTGCGTGGTAGACGGTCGCTAGGACTCGTGTTATCTATGTAATAGTGTGGCTTGACTTGTTCCCATCTGTTTGGTCCGTGGTTCCATAATATTTGAAGACAATTCGAACTGAGGATCATTGCCTTCGTTTTGAAGTAGGCGAAGTCGAGGAAGGTCGGTTACTTGAATATTGTTCAAAGGATTTATACTAGACCACGCTACTGCAACTACGTTGATTTCCTCAGAAATATGCTGTATATCAGAAGTAAATTGCAAAATCTAGTCCAGTTATCGAGGTCGTCAAAGGGGGGGGGTACTTGACTGAAGATGGGCTTAGAGAGAATGTAAGAGTTCTGTGCTCGGCAAACAGATTGTATGATTATGGTCTACGTTGGCACTAGCGCACACATCCGCGTTATTAGAATCCCAGACCTCTTCGATAAGTATACGTTCATCTTGATGAGATTGCCTAATCCATAAGATCTTGGGTGAAAGTCACACCATTGTCTACACTGAGTCGACCAATAGTTAAAATCAGCAATACGATGTGCAACACTTCTGAAGAAATGCGTCTGATCTGATATGAAAAGAACTAAATTACACAATGACTGTGCCTTCATAGCCGCGCCATGCCATTTGCACTCTGTGTCCCCGTGCTCTCCATTTTTGACTCTCTTCATGTGTTAAATGTTGAACGTAAATCATCCCACTCATTCTATCCTGTACATATTTATATTATTATGTAATGAGCATTAAAAGTGTGTTCAAGATAGTTTATAGAGCCGGTTACGATCTGACATTTATGAATTTTAACAGTTTGATGATCTAGTAACTGACCCCAGTTAGATTGTTTCCGAAATAAACATCACTAATAACTTCCTCTTTTAGTGCGCTATTTTGTGACGGTTCCCAAAGGTTTTTTTGTACTGCACATACACATAATTTGTGTGCTTGTCCGTTTACGCTTTCCACTGCTCGTGTAATTTACATTTCCCACAGCTAAATCTGATCCTCTCCCTCAAATAGACCGTACTGGGGCTCAGTGGAATTGTTTAACTTGTTCTATTATTGTGTTTCTAAATTTCGTTGCGTTCACTGGTTTTATGCGATATCGTAATCTCTTCAAACTTAGCAGTGACGACGAGGCTGGCGCAAGCAAGGATCCTGTAAAGTGGACTTATTATTAGAGCAGTGGCTAAACCTATCCAGATGTTATCAGGTACGAATGATTACGCCTACCTCACAATCCAGCACATCTAATCCTGCTACCGCACCGTCGATTGATGGGTTCGCAATCAGTATTGCTGAGTCTTATTACTATCTCGATGCTAATGTCACTTTTAAAATGTGGTTCCGGTGTTACGAGGGCCTATATAAGATTGATTTTGCCAGTTAAAATGATGTTTGGAAGGTCCGGTTGCTACTTCGGAAATTGTGGTCAGGTGAGCTAGATAGGTACTCCAAGTTGATTTTGACTCTGAACCCATGAGACAGCTCATTTTCTGACACTATCCGATCATTAAGCCAACAGTTTTGAGATAACTCCCCATTGTTCAAAACACGAAATCGATGTTTGAAGCTTATTTTGAATGAAGACACTGACTTTCTTACGCATGTAGGCATCGTTAACCACGAATGAGAACACTTTCGGATGAAGTCATTGACCGGGGGTCAGTTAAAACCCTTATTCCATTTCTCAGTACTCCGAGACCCTACTGTCATTGTGGTGGCATTTATTTTTACACAAACGACTATACTGAATAATATTTGGCATTTGCCAAGTATAGTAAAAATAGAACTTCTGCAAACACAATCATTGTTTGCAGTGAACTTTATAACAATGAATGCATTAGAATGACGTTTGATGCACAGGATTGTATGAAACCAATAAATCCTCGAGTACATACATACGTACATGTTTACTTACTTACTTACCTACTTACTTAGTCCAGTCAACCTTGTAGAGCAGGATAAACTGCTCACTGGGATTCTCCATCGAAACATGTCCTGAGGAAACCTTTCCAGTTGTTTGCAGTTGCTATCAAGGGAATTAAGCTTAGTATGTAGTGATTACAGTTATTCTGAAATACACGAATACACTTTGTGAATAATCGTTCGAATTTACCCACTTTGATTTGTAAAATTCTCAGCGAAATATAAGTGACCTGCAAGAATTGTAGTCTATTGTGTAATAAATATTGCAGAAATTGAGTTAGGTATTAGATCAGTTAGTCGAAAATCTAGACGAATATAGTGTTGTAGATTTCGTGAGTTTTAAAGAAAATCTTATGGTCAACATATTTACTCATTCAAATTAATCATTCACTTTCGAGTAATTTCTCTACCCATCATGTAATAATTTGAAATATCATTCAATCAGTGCATAGTGATTTAAATATCACCAATCATGTTGTTCTGAGTAGATCAGTGTTTATGTATCTGAAACTGAGATACTCGGATTTAAATCTCATGTGAATTGTTCATGCCTTCATGATTCCAGATACGTCATACTGGCATATACAAACTAAGAGAAAATCTAGGTGGAACATGTGGAGTTAACACTGTGATATCATAGCGTTGTACATTGCATGGATTTACTTAAAGTGTGATACTCACCAACATAAACAGAATATCACGATTTACACATTAAATCAATACGTCAACATAAATTATATACTACCACAATCACGAATCACCTCTAATTATTGTCCTTGCTCATTTTATATTTAGAATAAGAGATACGAGGATATCGTTTAACTATGATTGTCAGATCTAATTAAATGTTTATGCAAATGATGGCTCAGAACAACCAATTTCATCGATTAAAATATTATTTTATGGCGTTGGTAAATCAACCTTGTAATTTCATCTACTGAATAATAAATCAAGTAGTTTAGTTCTACTTTTATAGAAAAGCATTTACTTGGATTACAAAATTCACTAAAATCCACACTGTAACGCGAAAATCAAACATAGATCACTTCCATTCTTATGGTATACTTTGCACGACCGCGAATAACATCGAAACTTAGTATTCTCACTGTTACCGACTAGTAATCTACATTGTCATCCCTCAACTTACTAAACGTCATTCTAGTGACTTTCTTCAATTTATGATGTAGTAAAATGGATGGATGCATGAATAGATAGATACACACGACTGCATACAAAACACAATTATTATTCCTCAAAACCGATGCACCTTAGTGCAAAGTTATTTTACAATACAATTGATGTGTTAAACGGTTTTGCAAAAGCTTTAGTTTCGATATAATGACATATGTTTTAACTGTCAGTGAACAGTTCGATGGATCTCCACTCTGTACCATTTGTTATCAGTTCACATGCATTTCTAATTAAATCATTCTGACAGTGTCGTTCTTACCACATACTATATTCGTAAGACTTTTTAAATAAAACTATAATTATCATTATTAATTTCACAACCGACAGATAGATAAATAAATAAATAGACAGATAAATAGATAGATAGATAGATAGATAGATAGATAGATAGATAGATAGATAGATAGATAGATAGATAGATAGATAGATAGATAGATAGATAGATAGATAGATAGATAGATAGATAGATAGATAGATAGATAGATAGATAGATAGATAGATAGATAGATAGATAGATAGATAGATAGATAGATAGATAGATAGATAGATAGATAGATAGATAGATAGATAGATAGATAGATAGATAGATAGATAGATAAATAGATAGATAGATAAATTGATTGATTAATTGATAGATAGATAAGGAAGGTGTTTGTAGTCCTCAATTAAACAGAGGTTGAATAACTACTGAGAATGCGAAAGTGTCGTTGAGCAATAGGATTAGTGAAACATAAAAATGAAGTGTTTGATTGAATGTTAAAGTCCACAAATGACGATTACAATACTCCCATTGTGATTAAACTCCACTAGTCACAGTCTCTCGCAAGAACCTCTCTCAGTTAGTTATGATCACTACTTAATAAAATAGTTTGTCTAGATTTATTTAATTTGAACGAAATTCACCATTAAGCGTGAACAATTACTTCCTATTATGTTCAGTCACTTCAAACACTATTGTTAAAATAGTCAGGAAAGTATACGCTACTATTTTAATAAGGAAAGGGTATTGGATACAGATTTGTAACTTTCTTTCATTACCATTATTCTCATCATTGATATTGTTGTAGTTGTAATGACGGTGATTTAAAACAGAGTGATAAGACATGCACGTCAAGATTGTGCATGAGCCAATTAGAATCTGTGCCACTACTTATATATATACCTACACACATATTTTATATCTGAAGCCAAGCTACTAAACTCTCATTTTCTTACTTCATTGCATTTATAATAAGGTCAAAAGTATGACACTCTTGTTGATATAAATAGTGTCTGTTTTGGAATTAGAAATTAATACAAGGTAGTAAACGGCTACTCAATTCATTCGCACACATATTAGAAATCTTTTAGAGAATAATGGCGTCCGAACATAAAGCAGTAGTGAAAAATGCCGATATGTCAGATGATATGCAACAAGAGGCTGTTGATTGTGCTGCACAAGCTCTAGAGAAATATAGTGTGGAAAAAGATATAGCAGCATTCATTAAGAAAGAATTTGACAGGAAATACAATCCTACATGGCATTGTATTGTTGGGAGAAATTTCGGAAGGTTAGTAATATTTTGTAACTCGACATAAATATTTATTCATTATTAATATGTAATCAATGTTATTCACTCACTGTCTATGCCAAGACAGAAATAATTTGAGGTTATAATGTGGAGATTGTAACGGTGTATAAGAAACTTTGTAACTTTATTGGAAGTTAATAGTATACATGTCATTGGACAGTATTCATTTAACTATTTTTGCTGTCACATTTATATAATGATTCTCAAAATCACTGAGAAATAAGCAGCATTATAAAAGTGTAGGTGGTAGAGAACATTTTGAACTACACCTAAGAAGAGAACAATTTGATCTACACCTAAGAAGAGATCCCTCTCAATGGCGTGAAACTTAATATAACATTTAAATTCTCTCTATAAATGAACAGTCTGATTTTGAATGAACATTATGTCTGTCTGATCAATCAGAAGATACTTCCATGTTTAATGTTAAAGTCTTTATATCTGCATTAATTCAGTCATTAACTCTGTTTATAAATATAATATCCAATTCAGGGACAGTTTACGTCAAGTTAGTGTAGTTGCAAAACACAAATGTCAGTTTGACTGGATGTAGGAATCAAAAGCATCATCAGTGTTGGATTTGGTAATTCATTCATGAATTGTGAAGCGGTCCTCAGAGTAACAATTACAAATCAAACTTAGTTGAATGACAGAGAGTTAGATCAAAATAATAAACGATGAAAACCACTAAGCACTAATCAACAGTGACATCTTGATTTCTGATACTTCTCAATCCAATCCTCAAGTAATTCAAACTATATATTTTGACGGATCTGTAATCTGATTTTGCAATTCTATGAATACTGAGGAATTTCATGTGCTGAATTGGTGGATCCAAATGAAGTTCGTAAGATTTTCTTGTTCTGAAATTTGCTTATATATTGCTAACTGTTTTCTCAATTCCCTTTATTTATTGCAGTTACGTGACGCATGAAACCAAACATTTCATCTATTTTTATCTTGGAGATAATGCGTTTCTTCTATACAAATCCGGTTAAGTTGGAGGAAACCGAAAATTCAAAAGAAATATTAACAGAAACTAATTCAAACATTGTAATACACATCTGCTCATTCTGCACACAAATCAACTCAATCGTCTTCCCAAACACGATCTTCTGTATTACTCATCAATTCCCGAATTCATCTTCACAAGAACCAACACAGAATAATATACAGTTTGAACGAAGACCACAAAACAGAACAGAATAAATATTATTATAACTGAGATTGTGTTTCCACATTGTCTTTTGTACTGGTTGATCCACTATCATATTATTGTCAGTGTGTGCTTTTGTGTGTGGTAATTTTATCTGAAGTGGTGTTTCGAAATCGAAAATGAAACATCTTCATTATTAGTAAACAATTGAAATAAACAGTTATTTGTGCAGAAGACCGAGAGTGTTTTCTCTTTATATCTCGTCATATAGGTGTGTTTCAGGATGGGTAATATCATTGTCGTTTCTCGTTGCTAGTGAATATATTTAGTAGGAACTAATTATCGAAACAGATAGTTGATATGTAATATTAGGTAATTTTCGAATCGTATTTAGTGCACAGTCACTGTAGAAGAGGATCATGAGTGTGAGTTGTTAAATCATATCATGGAGAATATTTCAATGACAATTATGAATTGATAGGTTGGATCTTCATTGACGCACCTTCAGAATTGATGTATACAATGCACATATTCTGTGATTGTGGAACTTCTATGCAATTATCTAGCACTAACCAACCTATTGGATTTGTGGTGGATCCTAGCAAAACTGCTTACTCTAGATAGATTAATACTCATAGGTAATAATAATAAACCAAATGAGTTAACTATAAAATCCTAGGTGTCTGTCTTTGAGCGAAAGCAAAATTTAACAAATTGCAGTTAGAATACAAATGGTATATTAAACAACAAGGTAATAACGGTTTTTATGAAATGAATGTTACTTGTAAGCCGCTCTCTGAGATGACAACCACAAATGAGTTCACTTGATTAACGAAGATTCCGCTGAACGAGGTGGCACCAACGGCGTAATGAGAATGATTGGATCCAATAGTATTATTTATTAATAATCCGTGCGAAAAATCTCACGTAGTGTGCGAAGGCCTAAAATGACGTTATAACACTATTATAGTCTTCAATAAAAGGTCGTGGACAATAAAGCAGAAGACGGCGTAGATAGTATATTATATTTCAACCGACGCGGTAGAATATTCGTATATAAGTATCCAAACAAAAATGCCGTTTTTATTTTGTCGTTACAAAAATCACTGAATATACGTCACCATAGAATCAACGCCCAAATAATTCAGATAACCTGAACTACTTATCGTTTCACTATATGAAGCTATCACAGACATTAGAAATGTATTCATATATATATGTATCTAATAGAAGAACTTTCAGTTTATTAACTGAAGTATGTTTATTTAACCAGTAAAGATAGATTAAATTAGTATAGTTTCTCGATTACGTGAGTAGATCATATACAAAATGTATGCTAGTTATGATCAATTAAACTGTGTATCATTTTATCAATTGTTATTAGACATATCAGGCAACTTATGATGATTAGGGGTATGAACTAAGAATCCCAGAAATAACGTAATCGGACCAAGAAGTACTAGATAAACAAAAATGTATGTACTGTATTTAGAATTCGGAATTAAACATTGAACAAGTACAAAGGAACCATTAGTTTATTCATACACCACATCCGCCTCATCTTAAATTATAGTCAAAGTGTCTATAATCGATTGTACGTCTTCTTAAGTTCATCCTGTGTCTGTCCGACATTGTATTGGATAAAAACTCTGTATTATCTAGAATGTGCTCATTAGTATTGGAATTTACAACCGAAATCGGAACAGACTCACTTGGTTCCTGGGATTGTATACAATCAACGTGTTGGTTGTGTACCGCAACCACTATCTAGAATTTAAAGCATAGATTTCCCAACACTATACTCCCCCATGAAATAATGTTGAGTCTTTATAACTCTAAGTTATGAATGATGTGGCTTCATTTAAAACATATTTCTCAGATTGATCAGAATAAACATTAGAATTGACTTCGTGATGAGGATAAACAGCAGTTGATATGAAATCATTCGAACTGTAATCAAACTCGAGCTCATTTAGTACTTGTGCTTCGCATTGAACAAGTTTCCCACAAGAAACAAATGCATTATGAGGACAAATAATATTTGATAGAACATGATGATTTGATTCTTCTGAAATAGTTTCCTCAAATTTATTAAGAATGTAGTTGCAGAGTAAAAGATCACTAGAAAAATCAGCATCTATCAAAACTACATCACGTTTTCGATCATGACTAGGTTCATTCAATATATTTTCCTCAGATTTGCAAGAAATTTCGTCAGAAATAAGTGAATCATTGAGAAAAACCATATCTTGTACAATAACTTGAGAAATCTGATAAATCGATTGATTAGAAACTGTTGTATCGCAAGGATTCTAAGTTTCATATAATTCTGAACTGCTATATGAATCTACAGTGTCTTTTGAAATCGTTGATAAAGGCAAATGATCATTATAAGTTCTCAACTTAATAGAATTAGAAGTACAAGACTTAATATTAGTTGCAGCGATATGAACAGTAGTATTACAAACAGACTGAATATGTCCAATATCACCACAATTAAAGCACTAAGGATTAGAAAATATACATGGATTAAATGAGTGGAACCTGCCACAGGACAAACATTGACCAAACTTGTGCCCATCTTCGTGAACTGCATCGCAACTCCTCAATGAATTATTTGCATAACCTTGAGTATGCACTGAGTTGGGATGACGTAATGCAGTGGAATTTTTTATATCCTTGTGAATCATTTTACGAAATCTTCCTCCTTTACCACAATCGAAATTTGTATACTTAACATAGTCTAGCAGTAGATCCTTGAGAGTTGTAATAGAAAGAGAAATGGGCTTTTCCGGTGAAGCCAGTTTTTAATAAGCTGTAGGCTTCTTTTCCGATGAATGTGAGGAAATGTGCTACAATATCAACATCCTCATCATCTTCCTTGTTCATAGCCGGGATTAAAAACCTTTCAAAGTAATCCTCAAAAGCATCAATAACTGAATGTATGTCCAAACGTTCCATCACAGGCTGAATTACAGTATGAACTAAGAATTAAAAAGTACTAGATAACCACAAACGTATATACTGTTTTTAGAATTCGAAATCAAACAATCAAAAAGTACAAAGGAATCATAAATTCATTCAAACACAACACAACCATGCATCTCGAATTGTTCCCAAAGATGAATGAGATGCCTACATATGCACTCTTCCCTTATTATCCCAGTCAATTCAGCTGCACATTTTGTCTGATTGTAGATCAATATATTCACCAAAATACTGATTGCCTATCCTCTCTATACGTATGCATGAAGATCATGTAAGAAAGAGAATGGTCGACTAGTCTAGTTCTCACTTTTTTCAATTGGAGGTGAACAGTTCAAGATTTCGGTTTTCGTAAACCAACTGTACACTTCATACTTACAAAACAAAAACGGTATCGAATATTCGTTTCAAAACATGAATAACGCGACAGACAACAAAGTGTGTGTGAATTACTTTGATTTGTTAAGGAATCGAAGCTCATGCCCCCTGAATGCCCTGGTACGGCCGAGAGTGGGGAGAGTCCGCTCTCCCTCTCGAAATACTCTCACACGGCCACGCGTATACAGCCTCTGCCAGGGAAGTCCTACTCATTGCCTTCTCGTGGCGGGGGTGTTGTTTACGAAAATGAGAGGACGAAAAGCGAATGTCCGGCGCTTTAACCGGATTCCAAATCAATGGTGCACATGGGCTCCAGTATCCTGCGGGAACGAATGGCGTATGAACCAATCGTTGGTCACCGGCTACCATGGGACTGCATCTCCTTACGATGCTCCACTGCCTTGTGGGTTAGACCTTTAGGTCAAAGGCTCGGGGGGTGGCCCCCTAAGAAAACCACCTGCTTCGGTTTGGGCACCCGGGCAGTATCACAGCCCACACACAAACGATGAACTCTATGTCTTTGGCAACTACTTTCATCGCTCCGAAAAACAAAAACAATCAATCAATTCAAATAATTATCATTACTATTATTGTCATTATTGATACTATCATTATTACTATTATTGTCGTTATTATTATTATTATTATCATTATTATTATTATTTCCCACATTATTCACCCTCTTTCATACTTATACAGCGGCTCGGCTTTGGTGGAAATTCGACTGTATCTAAACGTTCTCGAGTCACTGTCCGGTTGAAAGTTGTATGTTACCATCGAATATGAGTACTGAAGCAGTTTTTCTGAAACCACGTGCGCCATTCAAACTGGCTGCCTTCAACGTTCGCACACTTATGCAGGTTGGTCAACAGATAGGGCTGGCTATGTCTTTGGAAAGTCTTAATATTGATGTTTGTTGTCTATCCGAGACCCGTATTCAAGACTCTAGCGAAGTACTACAAATTCGCTCTACATCTGTCACTTCAAAAAGCTTGTTTTACGTGCGCTTATCCGGGGACCCTGTGGCATCTTCGTCTGGTCTTGCTGGCGTTGGTGTCGCACTAAGCGCTAGAGCTGAGGCAGCACTAGTCGATTGGATCCCCATTAACAGTCGGTTATGTGCTGTTAGATTAGAAAGTTCCATCAAAGTGAGAAGAAATCGGCGTGAGAAACGATGTCTTTTCGTCATCTCCGCCTATGCCCCGACAGATTGCAGCCCGGATGCAATCAAGGATGAGTTTTACCACCAGTTATCAGTTCTTCTCCAGAAAGTGCGTTCGACAGATATTGTAGTACTAGCCGGAGACTTGAATGCTCAGGTCGGGCGTCTAGGCACAGAAGAGAGTCGTTTAGGTGGCCGATGGGGACTCGTTGGTCGCAGGTCAGATAACGGGGACCGTCTACTGCAACTTTGCACAGACCACAACCTGTTTCTGGCTAGCACTAACTTTCGGCACAGTCATCGCCGATGTGCCACCTGGCGTCCTCCCTCTGCATCTCAAGCCTGGACTCAGATTGATCACATCGCGATCAGCTACCGCTGGCGTGGTTGTGTACAAGACTGCCGCTCCTTTTGGAGTACCTATCTGGACTCTGACCATGCCTTGGTCTGCGCCAATCTTGCCTTACTTTTCAGTGGACAACGAAGTGAACGCCATCAACGGATTGATGTTAGCAAGCTGGTTGCA